AACCTATTTCCAGAGCATATCTGTAAAAAACAAACTGTCATTACTGTGGGCTAAAAACTGGATTGAACTGTATCTTGTTCACTTCTTCACCCCAAGCCAAACATATTTTCTGTCACCTTCAGTGTTTTGATTTTTTTCATGCAAAAAGAAAATGAGAAAATAATATGCTAAACAGGTCAAAGCTCAGAACCCTAATACATTTAACAGGCTCCATTCTTGAAATTGTATTCATTGTGAATATCAGAGTAACCAATCTATTTAAGTGAATGGAGATGGCATATGGGAATTAAAAGAAAATTTTATCCTTAAGCCTTTTCTCATAAAAGAACAATAATGAAAAATATGGGGAACTACCTACAGTGACACATTAATACATTTATTTTTTTTATTTCTATTTTTTTCAAATACAATCATAGAATCATAGATCGGTAAGGGTTGGAAGGGACCTTAAAGATCATCTAGTTCCAAGAATTATAAAGTTGTCACTGGCAATGCAAAGACTTCATGTGAGTTAATGTTTTGACTATTGTGGATTTGGATATTGGATTTGGGTACAGGAAAGAAATGTAATGTCCACTGTGTGAAAGGTAGCTTGTCAAAGAAAGATTCTGGAGGAAACTGTAGGAAACCTAACTACTAGATGTTTCATGTCAAATAACAAAAACGCTTCAGTGGTGGATTTTTTTTTTATATTTCCAATTTAAAAAATCCCTGAATCGATGTTGTTTTGATGTATGCATTTCTACTTTTGTTTTTGCCCAAGTTCTAATTATCATCATCATTTTCTCCCTCTTAAGTTGAGCAAAAAAGTCTGGATTACATTTTTCATTTCCTGAAGTCTTAGCAGATTTGAGAGATATTTGTAACAAAATCATTCTAGATGCATGTTTTATTTAATGCTATGTTAATATAATATATACGTTTCATTTGGTATGCCGCTTTTACTTTCCTCTGTATTTCTATACCTAGATCCCAAAGATTGGTATATCTATCTAGCATAGATGCAAGACTGCAAAAAAAACCCTCAGGGAAATCATATAATGCTTTGGGTTGGAAGGGATCCTTGAAGGTCATCTAGTCCAATTTCCCTGCAGAAAGCAGGGACATCGTCAACTAGATCAGGTTGCTCAAAGCCCTGTCCATCCTGACCTTGAATGTTTCCAGGGATGGGGCGTCTACAGCCTCTCTGGGCAGCCTGTTCCAGCATTTCACCACCCTCACTGTAAAAAATTTCTTCCTTGTACCTAGTCTGAATCTACCTTCTTTTAGTTTAAAATCACTACCCCTTGTCCTATTGCAACAGGCCCTGCAAAAAGTTTGTCCCCACCTTTCTTATAAGCCCTCTTTAAGTACTGAAAGGCAACAATAAGGTATTCCTGGAGCCTTCTCTTCACCAGGCTGAACAACCCCAACTCTCTCAGCCTTTCCTCATAGGAGAGGTGTTCCATCCCTTGGATCATTTTTGTGACCCTGCTCTGGACCCGCTCCAACAGGTCCATGTCTTTCTTGTACTGAGGACTCCAGAGCTGGATGCAGTACTCCAGGTGGAGTCTCAACACAGATGAGTAGAGGGGCAGAATTACCTCAAGTTCATTCCCAGATGAAGGTGTTTATTTCTTCTGTGTTTCTGTGCTACCTCAGCTGCTATGGGCCATTTCTGTACAGTTGGTGCTAGTGCGTCTGAGCCTGTTTTGCCAGCTCCTCAGGAAAACATGCCAGTTTTGGAAGCAACAGTTCAACACTGGCCTCTCACCTAAGAAAGGATCTATACTCAGAGATGCTGATTTGATTTTGTAAGTGGTAAATAGGTTTAAGGATATAGGTGAATTATTTTTAAAGATATTTTTTGAATTGTTATGTGTCTGTTAAATTGAAGGACAGAAATAAATTTGTGCAGGAAACTGATGGTATACATGTTTCAAAAAAAGAAGAAAATTAAAAGGTTATTTACTTGATTTTTCATAGTGAAATGTTCTCTGAGTTAGTTAATTCAGGAAAGGGTAGAGGAGAAGTCAGTTGTTTTATTCTGAGGTATAATAAAAAGATGAGAGGGAAGAGTATCTAGGATAAAGTCTCTGAATTTACCTCGAGTGATCTCTTCCACTTGTCTGGAACACCAGAAGTCTCACACCTGAGTAACTAATTATTTGAAAAGTAAGCAGTTCTGGTTCATATTCCCTTATTTACAAATTGTTTGATTGTTTTGTTTTTCTTTGTTAACATTGTTAACTGCCAGCAATTCATTTACAGCTGGGGAAAAGGGCTTATGAAACAGCAGATCTCTGTGCATTAAATTCTAGTTTAACCTGTAATAATTTGTATATCAAAAGCTATTTAATAGTATATGAACAATTGATTGTATGGATATTTGTATTGCCTGTTCTCTTCACCTTGGTTTAAACTTTTTTATCTGAAACACCCACAGGCTAGCATATAAGATGATCTCTAGAGAAAGCAGGTTTTCACCAGTAGTTTATCCATTTATCTTTGAACACAGAAAAATTTTTACAAACAGCAGTTTGTAGGAGTAAGCATTCTGTCACTGTCAATTACATTTGACCAATAATGTATTATTTATACGGATAAAAAGGTAAAAAGCAAAATTGTAGCTAATAGTGATCTAACAATTACTAAGAATAACTTCATGGACAAATTAATGTACTACTGTATTGTCATCCTTTATATGATATACAAGGTGGTAAGGTCTTCATACCCATATGTTTCTGTTTATATTTGAAAGTCTCAACTTAAAAACAAAATTGACAATGTATTTTAAAGTATTTTTTCTAAGGACAGTATTTTAATAAAACAGAAATTGCATTTTCTCTCTATGGAAACCCCAAAGAAATGTTGTTCATCTAGTCCTGTTGCAGTTAGTAGATGGTGATACTTCTTGCCCAGAAGGTGACGTAAGAAGTTGTTCTTTAATTAGAGAATCTGAGGAAACAAAGTACTGTGAATGCTTGCAATGCAATCTTCTGCACTGGAGAAGTCCTTACCTTAGTTTATAATGAGAATGGATTGTTTTTTGTTCTTTCAAACCTTTAATGTGTGCATATAAAGTTCTTCTGCATCAGTGTTGGTTGGATGAGGAAAGAACTAATCACGTCAGATCAGGAAGGAACTAATCACCTCAGATCAGGATTAATGATATAACTTGAACCACTTCAATTCAGTCCATGGATTTAGCTTTGAGATAATGAACCATAATCAAAATAGTTCCCTTTACTAAATTTTTTTTTTCAGAATGCGTACTAATGAGAAGTTTTACCTGTTGCCTCAAGACTATTATTTGCCCTTTGGGTGAATAAATTCTGAATAAATCATCTGTGTATTGAAGTTATATGATTTTATTTATTTTTCTTACTAAACAAAGTTACCCTTGTTACCCTTGCTATACTGACATGGTAAAATAACTTAGAAGGTTTGCTGTTGCCATGATCTCCCAATAAAGGAAATTCTTTATATCAATAAACTTTAAATTCTGAAGTCTCCTTAAAAATAGAATTCCTGTAATAAGGATTTTGAACTTTATTTAATGGAGGAAATATTTCTGCAAGCTCTTTACTTCATATTGAATAGTGATGATCTGCACCACTGACAAATGAAATGTAGTATTTGGCTATAAAGGAGCAGAAAAGACATTAGCTGTAGACAGGGAGTAATTTTGATGACAATTCTCAAGAAAACAAAAGCAGAAGTAATTACAATAGATTGATCTGAAACAAAATAATCTGCCACACATCAGTGTATGTTAATACTCAAAAATAAAGCAATTGTAGATCTTTGGGTGGATACTGTCTGTGAAAGATGGGAGTTTTTATTATTACACAATAACATTAGTTTGTACAGATGAAAATGGCTTTTTTAATTTGGTATTATGATTCTGAATGATGAATCCCTAGCAGTTAATCATTAGCCTGCACTAAATGTTCCAGACCTTGAACACCTTCTGCTCTGTAGCTGGACTCTGAAAATGTGGGTTTCTAGGCACACCCTTTCAAAATACCACCCTCACCATCCTGGTGCCGCTCCTGAAATTAAGAGGTTTTCCACTTTAAATCATCAGGCATAATTGATCCTTCAGTGTTGGTCTTTCCAGATATCCCCTGAAGAAATTACGTGCCCCACAGTGTTAGATCCCGTGAATTACTGATAGCATTTTATGTTCTGTAAAGCCAGACATTCAAAAATTTTGCAGATACGTTCTCTTTTCCTCTAGACAGAGAAAGCATGTTATACAGATATATCCAAAGTGATTGTCAGGATGCACAATCTTCCATCATTCTTTTTTTTCTAGAGCCCAGTCTTGTCTTTCACTCACATCTATAGCGTATTGGAGACAGAGGTCTCTTTAATAAAGTTTGCATTCCTCCTGTCAAGTTTCTGTGCCATAGCTCTTGTACACATTAACACTTATCATTCAATTCACAATTTCAGTTACATGAAGTTTCCCAGACTGGGAAAATTTGCTCTTGAGGCTGTAGGCTGCTACTGGTGATGAGATGCCTCCACTTCAATGGAAGATTAGAGGATTAATGACTCTTCATTGCTAATTCTCTGCTGGTTGTCTCAGATTCTCTGCTTAGCATCTTTCTCAATATTCAATCCAGTATGCAGGTTAAAAGTCCAAAAAGAAATGTGACTGTAGAGGGATTTAAGATTTCAGGATATACTAATCCTTTGTTATCGTAAAGTTAAACAAGAAAATACCAAAATCCTGGCAGCCAGAAGAATAGCTGTAGATAAATACGGACATATTCCTATGTCCTAATATTAACCTTTGCTAATGAACCTATATACCCAAATACACTTTTGCAGCTTTTTCCTGAGCATTCACAGTATTGAGGTTTATAACACAGTTTAAATGACAGTATCAAACCTGTGGTAATTCAGGAAATAGTATCTTCATAACGAAATTGGTTGAATTTACAGTTTTGATGTGATCTATCAAGTGTGCTTATGTGTGATCCTCCATTTATGTTTGCTTTGGTTTTTAGCTCCAGACCAGTCTGTCTGAACCAATGACATTATCCAAGTCAATCTCACTTCCTCGTAGTGCATATTGGCATCATATCACCCGGCAGAACAGCGTTGGAGAAATCTACAGTTTACAAGGCAAGTTCGGTACAAGTAAATGGCATGTCTATTAGCTTCTTTCCATTTGACCAAATTCATGCAAATTGCTTTTTATTTACACTGCTTGTTTTCTCTTCATTTCATTTTATCAGTTGTCAGGAACCTCAGCAGGACTCCCAAATTTACATAAAACAGGTTCTTTTTAGTCATTTTGTAAACTAATGGTGAAAATTATTCCCAGAATCACCACATAGAGCTGGATAGGCAATTTGGCTCAATGTAGCTTCTCAGTAGCTAATGAATGTCAGGTTGTTTTAGTATTTTCTTCCAATAAAATTGTGTATGTATTTGGGCAACCTCAGGGTGCCCAATTAAATCTACATAAAGTGGCTATATGAGCTGCAAGATTAAAACAAAATAGTTCTAGGAATAAGAGCTATTCTTGGTGAATTTGCTTGGCAAGTCCTATATATGTACTGTTGATTTGACTAACTTACAGGCCTTCTGCATTTACGTGTCATCTTTGTCTGTCTCCAGTTCTCTTTCATATGTTTAGGTTCTGAGCTATTTGCTTAAGACTTTAAATGCTATAATTAACATAACTTGATGATGATGATGATGACGATTCACTGCTATTAATATGAAGTTGATTTCTATCTTTTAGGAAACTGGAATTTTTTGTTACATTTAAAAAGTAGACCTTAGTTAATAGTTTTATTTTCACTTTTATAAATTAGCAACCTATCATAAACATGTTCCTTTGTATTATTGGGAAAGGGCTTAAGGATTTTGTTTCAGTTCTCTCTTAATAATCTGTTTGCATAAGCAATTTACATTTAGATAGGAGGTTAGAAACTACTCACAAACAAGAGTACCCAATGCAAGAAAACGTAGTATGTGTTTTCATGAAAAGAAGTGTAATGCAGTATATAGATGAAAGACACGAAGTGTTTTGTTTTGTAAATTATCACATAAGGTGAGCTATGAATTAAGTGGGTGACTCATTAAAGGATACAGCATTTGTTTCCCATCATCCCCCATACAACAAAGACAAAGTGAATTTCTAACCATAGTTATAGTCTTGTAGTTGAATAACAGTAATGGAAAAAAGAAAATAACTTTCCAGAAGTTGTTTGTGAAAAAAGTTGTGCTTAAAATCAACTAAAAATATTCATTGTATCACTGATATTTTTTCATGAATACAATAACAATGAAAAAAGTGTGTTTTTGTAGAGATGTTAGAGATCCTTTTCTTATGTTCTTGATGGGTCTTTCCTTTGACAAAAAGATAGTAAATGTGTTATGATACACATGAAGTGAGATAAATGTATGGAACATTGTTCATTCTCTTCAATCTTTTGCTGCTCATAAATGGCCTTTGCGGTAAAGGAGAGCAAAACTTGATATATCAAGTAATAGTTTATACCAAATTGCTTTGCAGGAGGCAGCATATTGGAAGTGTATTGTTAAAAATGCAAGAATGTTACTTTTTGGAAGTATGCAGATTTTATTCACACTTCAGCTGAAACATGAGACTAATAAATATTTCAGAATTTAAGATTTTAATTTCTCTTGTATGTACTATGATGACTGAATCTTGAAAAAGTGTAGTAGATTTCAGGAGAGACTAGTTCAGTTTTACTAGTGGGCTAAGGAATGCACCCAGAGCACAGTTTTGTCTCCCTCTGGTTGCAAAACTTTTACATGCAAGAATTTTATTCATCATCAACTGTAATAGAGATCTCTTTGAACCTTCTGCTGCAACGACTAATTAAATGCAATGTATTTGTACAGAAGCTGAAGGGAGAACAAAGTACACCTTTTCCTCCTAATACCTGTTCATACTGATAGTCTTTGCACAGCAGAGACCTACCAGCTGTCAAAGCATCAGCCCACAGATGCTTCATAGATGTGGGTGGAAGGTGGGTAGCGAGGAAGCAGATTGTGAGCATCACTTCAACCCTCACCTTAGTACAGCAGCCAGCTGAGAGGAGCTCTTGAAGAGGGAAAAATCACTTGCTGCTACTGTGATTTCATCTGAGCTTGAAAAGGTATATTGCACCATCAGAAAGGAGATGTTTTCTTTAGAGAATAATCCATCAAACTCTGTTCTGCGCTTCATGTGTATTTATGACAAAGCTTTTTACATTCAAGAAACTAATTTGAAAATTCCACACATTCCTCTGAATATCTCACAAACTTTAAAATGAAATAACTAGAGTGGTGTCTACCTTTATTCAGATTACTATCAATATCAGTAAAGTAACAGCTGAACTCATTGTTAAGTACAGTGTAAATGTGTTTCCATAGTGGCAATTATTTCAAACTTGCAGTCTGAACTTACTAGAATTTAATTAATAACAGCTGGTGACGTATAAGGAGAAATGAATATGTGCTTATACTACCTTAGATAAATTGGCTTTTTGGGAGTTATTTAGCAGGCAAATTTAACTTAATTAGTAGTGTGAGTTGATCAGATAATGAATATGCTATAGAGTAAGAAGGTGGGGATTTTTGTGGGTTTCATTTTTTTTTAAAGTACATTTCAGAAAAGAAAAGGCAATTCGATAAATGGATATTGGGTTTATCATCCTCCATCTGCCAGTGAAAACACTTACATATAAGGACCTGAAAAGATTAAAACACAGAATAGTAGTGCTAAAGGAACACAGGTTGCATAAAATATCCTAAAATGAGGTGGGCTGGTTTCTCTCTTTAAAGGCTTTTTCTTCCATTTGTGTCTTCCTTGCATTCTTCAGTTTTTGATTGCACTGCTAAGATAAATGTGGTAATTTAGTTGTTTAATTCATCTTGTCACTAGGAACAACTTGATAGTTGGCTCTTACTAGTGGCAGCACATCACTACCAGTATTCACTTCAAATTTTACAGTACAGTGTTGCAGGTCTGACAGTTTCCATCCATGATCTGCAGCTGCTGTAGAGGTTGCGGTGTGGGGCCTCATTAGCTGACACAGTGGTGCCCTTTCAGTGCTGTGTGTTGCCGCTCCTCTCCATCTGATGTGACATCAGGCATGTGGCAAGCCCCAGTGCTGCACAATAAAGAGATAAGGGGAATTGCTGCACAAAACAGCACAAAGTTTTCCAGCCGTCAGGTTGAATTCTGGTCTGAACTTCTCTGTTGGAACGATTTCACTTAAAAGCCTAATTGATGCCCATGGCTTTATAAATCACAATGCCTCTTTCTAAAGTGTACATATTGACAATCCAGATGTTGCCTTTAATTACAACTCAGAAATGACATAGAGTCCTTACAATTTTTTATCATAAAATAGTTTAAGTATCAGAGAAAAAAAGAAAAAAAATGCTTATACACCAATTTTTGTGCGTACATGAGTAAAATTTAAATGAATTCTACATTTTCATGAATAACAGACAGCTCTATAAAGAATTCAAGCCCAACAGAAGATAAACATCCATTGCTATGTTATTCTGTCCTATACATCAAGATTTACAAAACCACAAATATTACAAGCCAAGAGTAACCTTGTGAACTGAAATCACGGTTAACAAGGAGAAAAATAAAAGAGCCACGTAAGCATGAAAAAAAACCCTGTGTGCATCCTCATAACTCACTGTTTATTTTTACAACCTGGCATAAGATTTAACACTGTTTCACAAGATAGTAAAAAATTGACAAACAAAGCACATGTCTTTTTACACAGCAAAATTTAATCAATAGCATTAATACATGATTTTTTTAAAAAAAATTTGCACTAGAGGGTTTAAATTTCTGTAGGAGGGAAAAAGGGTTGCAGACGAAATTTTCAACTAGCTGAAATTTAGTGTTGTAGTTCCTGTTTTAAAGAATTTGAATAGTACAAATTTTAAGCGCACTTTGTATATTATTAAACTAATACGGCCAAATAAAATTCTGGTATGGAAACCTGCATTAGCTTTTTGTATTGCAATTATTGAAATCCCAGAGGAAATTATGTTCAGAAAATCTAATCACTGTCTGGCCTTTCTCCAAGAAATCTGAAGTTAAGAATCCCTTTCAGTCACCACTGTTGTGTTTGAGTCTGGTTTGTATTCCTTACTTTGACTTTGTTTTCGCTATCCATACTCAGTGATGAACACCTACCCACATAAGCAATCCAATTCATTTCTATGAAAGTACTTGTGAAGGAGCGTATATTTTTATAAGAATTACACAATAACATCTTACCTGTTTTCCTCTTAAAGGGAACATTAATGCTTTTTTCCACAGTAAATTGCTTATCACAATTTGCTTATCGCAACTGCTTATTTGCTTTATCACAAATGTTATAAACCTATAACAAATTAATTAAATGACACTGAAAAAAAGATGCCTGCTAAGAGCTAGAGTCACATTTTTAAGCCTAGTGAGGAACTTTGAGAGATAAAACTATAGTTTTCAATGAGACAGGACTTCAGCTGGAAGCATCACTTAAGTTTGTAAATTCATGTCAAAACCAAAACCAGACAGAAATAAAAACTAGCATCGATGATTGTAGGAATTTTGCTGTTGATATACAATTATCTTTTCTATTTCACTCTAAAGATGCAAGAAACCTAGATCTGCTTTTACGAATCAGAACAGAGGGGAACTCTGGCTCCTCTTTGGCCTCTGTAAGAAAGCCTGCACTGCCCTTTGCCTTTTGGCCTTTGGTGAGAGCGCACTCTTCTCTTGATTTTGAATATTTTTAAAGTAGAATAACATGTAGTGTTAACCCATTCAGCTAAAAGGTTTTGTACATAAAAGGAAGACAAAGTCATACACAAATGATTTCTCCCAGCTGCAGAAGTTTCCAGCCTTTTCAAAGCAGAAGATCTGATATATCGTTAAAAATAATCAGAGAATATTCAAGTTGCTAAATATTTAGAAGGGTTTGAATCATCCTTTTCAACCCTCCTTAGGCTAATCCTGCAGGAATTTGTGATGTGGGCTTCTTCAGTTTTCTGCAAATTAAAGTATGTAAAATGAGGAAATTCGTCATTTTGGCATTTCCATTTTTTGTTCATATGCCCAGCAATAGAGTACAGAATCCATTTCCTTT